TCCCCCTTCCCCTCCCCCTCCCCAAACTCTTTCTTTCAACACTGGGTCACAGACCCTACCTTTGAAATGAGCTACCTCAGACCAGTGGAGTGGAACTACCCGGAAAGCCCTATTTGTGTCTAGTAGAGCGTTAAAGTTGGGAATGACTTATTTCTGACCTGTGGAGCGTTAAAGTTGGGAATGACTTATTTCTGACCTGTGGAGCGTTAACGCTGGGAATCACTTGTCTCTGCTTTAATGTTATGAATTATTTATTTTTACATATGAGAATGACTTTAGCCACGTTGAACGGTCCAATTGGGAATGACTTATTTCTGTCATGTTGAGCGTTAAAGTTGGGAAGGGGGCTCTCACGGCCTAGAAGTTAAGGTGTTCGCCTCTCATTCAAAGGTCCCGGGTTCGAATCCTGGTTGCGACGGAAAAAATTGTCTTCTCTAAAATCATCTCCTTTCACCTCCTTTCCAGCTCTCTAGCAATGTTCTGTTGTCTGCTTTCGTCGCTACTTTCTGCCCCCACCCCCTCTCCTCCTTTACCCCCTCCTCTGGACTCCTGACTCTTTCCTCAGCCTTTCTACTGCAACTCCTTGCATGGCTCCTTCTTACTGCTGTCTTTCAGCCACACCCCTGATCTTCTGGTTGGAAAGGTCTACACCTAGCCTTCCAGACAAGGGCGAAAAATCTCGGAGGTCCCGTGTGCAAGTTGCGCACGTTAAAGATCCCTTGATGGTCTAAAACATCGAATAGAGTAGGCTTCGGCCGCCACCCAGGCAAAATTCAAAATTTCCTACCAACTGAAATTGTTTAATTTGTCCCGCTCGTTCAAATGACCTTATACTATGCAGTAACGAGCGTCGTAAAATAACAACAACAACACAAAAAAAACCTACAGCACCACCCCCCAAAAAAACCCCCCCAAAAAAACAAACAAGAGCAACAACCAACCCCCAAGATAACCATACACAGTATGATGTTATATTACTGTCTTTCTGTATATACAGTATAGCCATTATGACATATCTTGGTGTAAGAACAGTTCAGCCAACTCAAGTTTTCATTTTTGTTTCACCGTTGATGCGTTTTTGAAACGTTGTGTTTGCATTGTGTTTGTTGTTTGTGTTGTTTTTGTTGTTGGCAAGTATTTAATTGTTTGTTGTTACTTTTGGTGGTGGTGAAGAAGCAACCGTTTATGATGGTAGGTGGGAGAGAGAGGGGAGAGAGAGAGAGAGAGAGAGAGAGAGAGAGAGAGAGAGAGAGAGAGAGAG